TAGACTTCCTTTGAATCGTTTTTGCACCAAGCTCTAAGCTTTTCTTTTTTTAAAGAAACCTATAAAGTAATCTAAATGTAAATATTAAATAATATTTATAAAATTAAATTAAAGCTTTTTAAAGAGCTGTATAAAATATATAAAAAATCAGAACAACAACAGGCCCCTGTGGTCCCTGGTTATCTCTGAGGCTCAGTATCTTTGTATCCGTGAGTGTGTGGGGTTTTTGGGCGTTGGGTTTGGTACTGCAAGAGCACTCTTCGGATTCTTCTTCTTCTTCATCAGGTTCTTCCTCTTGAACATCTCTCTTCCTCTTCTTTGGCGGGTTCTTCCTCTACTGTTTCTGATTCTTCTGGTGATTCTTCCGCCGCCGCGTCGCTTTGGCCGCCTCTTCAATTGCTGTTTATTTGTTGTTGTTGTTATTTTTTTTATTTATTCTTGTTGTTGTTGTTGCCAGGCGTGTGCGGTGCGCGTTGAATCCGCTATAACAGTGTTAGTACGTTAGTAGGTATACAAACAGGTAAAACAGGTATTCCTCAGCCGCTCTTCTATCATTATTACCACGATCATCATCGTCATTATTGCGATCATCATATGCTGCTCCTGCTGCTGTTGCTGCTTCTTCTTCTTCTGCTGCTGCTGTCTCTTCTTCTTGCTCATCTACCACTATGGGCTATTCTGCTTCTTGCCACTTCACTTGAAGCATTATTTTAGCGACTCGCTGTCGATGACGACAATTGAGCAAATAAAGATAAAAAAAACACAACACTAAAAAAAATCGAATTCTAAAGCACTGAAAAAAATTCAAGCTGTCTGAAGATTATTCTCCAAAAGAGAGTACCTTTTCAGAAGTTATAAACAAAATGATATAAACATGTTTATCATAAAATTATTTTATTATAAGAAGGATACTCAAAAATATCTCTTAAAAATATATTTTAATGCGGTTCGAAAATTCCAAATCAAAGTAATTCCTTAAACATCACCTCAAACCCCCAACTATTTTCCGCAGTGCATGGCGACCAAACTCAACGGAAAGTACAAGAAGACAGGAAAGAGTGAGGGAGACACCGCCAAACTAAAAAAAAACGAGATGGAAGGCAGTGCAAGCGCATTGAGGCCCAAAGGAACACATTCTTAAAGACTGCAATTACCCGGCAAAGGCCAGAAAGGGTGTACGGGGCTGGAGCCCGGAGGGAGTCAGGCAAAGATGCAGACAGTGGAAACAAGAAAATTCTGCTGGCTGTTTGGAGCCCTCTTGCAGTTTCTCCACCTCCTGGCGGACCCGCCCAACTGCAAAAAATAAAAAATAAAAGCCAAAGTCAAGGCATTAACAGCCCAGTGAACACACAAATACAACTACACGATGTGCAATTTCACACACACACTGACGCAGGCGCAGACATGGGCACACAACGGTAGCGTGAGTGTTGGTCTATACCATTTTGGCCTAGGTCTGGGCCAAAACCAACAACTACTACTGTTCTTTTCTGCTCTGGCTGCAATCAACAGCTTCAGATTCGATTTGTGTAGCAAATTATTATCGGGTGTTTGAAGTTTAGGGACTTTAATATTTTTGTTTAATAATAGTTTTAAATATTTTAAATATTAATACTATAAATAATGTGTTAAGTACTTGAAGTAAACAAAAAGCTTTCGTGAGATGGTATTCCAAAGATGACCAAAATACAATAAAAAACAATATTTTAAAATTAATACTTAAGCTACAATACAAATACTTATCAATTATTTTGTTATCAATTACATTTTTGTTTGATAAGTTAAGAGATTTTGGCTTTGGGGCTTAATTATAATACAAGATCTAAGAAAAGATCTTTATAGATACCATATATCACATGTATAAGAATTTATGGAAAAATGAAGTTTTAAATACACAGCTTTTAAATAAAATCATTACTTAAAGAAGCTTGAGATCCTCTTAAGCCTTACATGTGTAAATATATGTATATGTGTGTCTTAAGGTTCTGGGCCGTAACACTTGCATTTTGGCCAACGATCGAGCGGCATTTTGTGAGTGAGAGTGAAGTTGGCGCAGGAACAAAAGCACCAGCAACAACAACATCAAAGTCATGAGGAGATGGTCTTCAGGAGACTCCACTGAACGCCACTGAAGAAAAGAAGAAGAAGAAGAATTTGCTGGCTCTACTGCTCGTCCTCTGCTAACGCCAACGTCACGACATTAACATTGCCGCTGCTGTTGCTGGCTCTGCCTCTGCTTCTGCTTCTGCCTCAACGGCAACGGCAAAGTCACAGTCAAAGCCAAAGCCAAACAACAGGTTTTAAACTGCCTATCTCTGTCTCTTTTTCACTTCCTGACTAGGGATATACCGTACTCTTTCGCCGTGTCTTGCTCACCTGAGAAAACAAGACTTCGTTTTCAGCTTCGGCTCTGAGTTGCTCTTCGTTTTTCAACTTCGGCTTTCGGCTACGCTCTCGCACTCTCTCGTTTGTCGCACACCAGCACAAAGCTAGCTGTAAATTTGTTACGTTGCCGCCGAAAAGTGTATCTGTGTGTGAGTGTGTGCGAGATTCACACAGGTGTGCACTGACTTAATTCGCCTTAACGAATTCGCCGTCGCTTACATCACTTGCCGCGGCTTTGCCTTGCTCTCCATCTGTGTGTCACTGGGTGTGTGTGTGTATTGGTGAGTGTGTGTGAAATAACGTTAGTTATCCGTTGCCATCGCACCTGTACAGGTGAGAAAAGGAAGAATCTGGCTTGCCCTCTCGCTCTCGGCGACTTGAGATCTTTTTTGCTCTCACAATCTTATTTGCCATTCTAAGCGTGTTCTAAGTCTGCTCTCTAGCTCTCTCTCTGGCACACACACATACGCAGAGACAGGTGTAGGCTTGAGAGGGGGAAGGTGGTGCAGAGGTAGGACACACCTGAGAGCAAGAAATGCCTGCGTTGCCAACTATTTTGCCGTTTAATTTCGTTATATGGGTACTGGTTGTTTTTTTTCTGCCGCTGCTGCTTCTTCTTTGGATTGTTATTTCTTCTTATTGTATTACCGCGACTCTCTTGCACACACATACACAGCCATACATACAGTACCAAATACAGGTACATAATGATGATGAAATTCTTAAAGGGCCGCGGAAAACAAACTATTGGAATTTTTACCTCTATCTCCTTTTCGGTTTTTCATTCTCGTTTGAAAGCGAAAAAATCAAAAGACTTAGGACACGAACTTGGCCAGGAACTTGAAGTTTTTGTTTGCCTCAAGGCGGGTTGTAATTTAATTTTATTAATTTTAATTTATAAGCATGTTATTATTCTTGAAATTAATTTTAAAAAATATTTATTTCTTCTTAAAAACAAATCCTTGAGGAATGTACCAAAAATTCAAAAGACTTAGGACACGAACTTGGTCACCAAATTGAATATTTAAAAATTTTTTTTTTTTTAAGATTTTTTAATTATGATTAAAAATATATTTTTATAATAACTAATAGTTTGCTTTTTAATTTTGGGTTTAATTTTTAACATTAATATTCTATAATTAAATAATAATCCTGCGAAAAGTGCCAAAAACTCAAAAGACTTAGGACACGAACTTGGTCATCAAATTGACTTAGGACTTGATGACTTAGGACACGAACTTGGCAAAAAAAATTCTTAGATCGTAAAATTAAAAATATTTAAAATGTCTATTCCTTACTCTAAAATTTACCTTATATAAATATCTAAGAATTAAGTAATATTATGCAATAAAAATTCAACACAAAAAAATTTGAAAAAAAAAAACTATTACGATAAATCTTCAAATAATTTCAGAGTCAAGAGCAAGCGGCGAATCTTGAAATCTAAGTACAACAAGTACAGCTCCAAAGAGCCAAAGCAAGACAGAGACAGAGAGGAGGGGGAGCCTACAGGGCGACAGAGGGAGACGGGCAATGGGCGATAGACGTTGGGAGCAAAACCATCTCAACCGGCAAATGGCCAAAGCCAAGAACAAACGAACATTACTATCATAATCATGATCTACCTTGACTCTGAGCCAAGACAGAGAAAGAGCCAGGGAGAGAGAAAGAGAGGGAGGGAGACGTACTGAAAAACTGCATGAGAAACGTTATGTGAGCGAAATGAAGCAACAGAAACAGCAACAGCAACGCACACAAAACACTCTCACTCTCCTCTCGCATACAGGTAAGAAAAAAAAGGTGGACGCACACAGGTGTGTTGAGCATCGGCGCCGAGAGAGAGAGAAAGAGAGAGAGAAACGAGAGAACAGTTTTTCTTGAAAGCGAATTTGCTCTCCTGGTTAATACAGCGGACAGGCTTACGGTGTTTTGCGTTGAATTCGCCGTTCGCCGAACGCCGTTCGCCGTCTAACTGAGTTTGTTGTAGCGGCGAGATCGAGATATATACACCGATCCGACTCCAAAACCGATCCGTCCGACGATCGGCTGACTTTGGCCTAACTGCTCGAGACCGCGAACCGCTCGAATACAGTAAGTGGCGAGCCGGCGTTGTGAATGCACGTGTTTTCGCTTAACTCACCATCAGAAAACTCCTAACTTTAAAAATCCAAAACATTACAAAATATATTTATACAAAAAAAAAAACAAAACCAAAAACTGTGAACTGTCTTGAAAACTGGACAATTTTTTTTCAAGTAATATTTTTTGTCAAAGTGCTAAAACAAAAAGAAAAACGGAAAGAACGACAAAACAAACAATCTTCAATCATTTTTTTCAAGTACATTTTTTTCCAAGTGTTTGAAATATAAAAATTCTTAAAAAACTATCAAATACTCTTGTTAAAAAAAAGGAAATAATAAAAGAACATACCAGAGACATGAAGAAGGCCAAACAAAAGTTGGCTTGAGCTCGGCTCATGACAAAAACCAAAATCAAAACGAAATCTTTTTTTTTTTTAAAGAACAGAAACAGAAACAAACAAATTAGTGGGCGAGCGGCGAACAAACATACACACACAATTGGATTAGTGTTTTGTTTATTTCGGACCACCACCCACAAAAAGGATATATACAAAAATAATATATAGAAAATCCTCAAAAAAAATCAAACAACAAAATAAAAAGAAAAACGCGTGTCGCCGTCGTGTTTCGTCGTTTTCGTTCAACGCGTTTCGAAAATCCGTCTATCTTTCGGTTGATTATTTCGGAAATCGTAATCCATCATGCCGAAGATATTCTTGATCAAAAATCGCCTGCACCAGCAGCAACAGCGCCTTTTGGAATCCCAGAACTTGCTGCAGCACAAGAGCCAGGATGACGAACGGTGTTTGGTGCCGCCCTTGAGTCCCAGTCCCAGCGGAAGTCCCAGTGGCAGTGGCAGTAGGAGTGGCAGCGCCCCCTCACCACCCCTTCCACATCCGTCACAGCCCGAGCCGCAAGGTCAGGCGGAAAAGCCGCAACCAAATCAGGATCAACAGCCGCTGAGTTTGACGCGAAAACGTTTCCATCATCGTCGTCATTATTTCGGACAATCGCGTCACAGTCTCCCCGATAATGGAGCTCCAACTCAAAATCAAAATCAAAGTTCTTCGGAATTGGAAGTCGATGGCAGCTCTGCGGGTCAAGTTCAAAATGGTAAGTTTTAACTCCAAAAAAAATTGTTAGATGTTTCAAAAACTTTAGAAGTCAAAGTCCTCTTTTCGAACCACTTTTAAAAATTGTTAAAAAAAAAATGAATTCTGCAAGAATTCGAATTTATTTAGATAAATAATTGCTACAAATCTGTCAGTCTGTATTTTTTGTTGGCCGATGGCAAATCAGCGCAGAAAAAATATAACAAAATGCTATATCTATTGCTTGGAAATCTTTTCAAATTTCAAGCTTCACTTTTGGCCAGCTTTTGTTCTTTATTTTGTTTTGTATTTTTTGCTCGCCCACACCATGACGAACTCGTCTCCATACGATTTCAGTTTGTGGCTCAGTATCTTTGTATCTGAGTATCTGTATCTGGTCTGTCTATCTACCATTCTCTATGAGGTGCTCGTTGGAGTTTACTTCAACATCAATCACTTTCATTGAATTTCGTAAGCGTTTTTATTTTGTTTTCTGCTCATTTTTGGTCAAAATCCCCAAAAGCCCCAAACAGTTCTAATGTTCATTCTATTTTCGATTCAATTTTGTTGTTTTTTTTTTTTTTGTATGCTCCACCACGACCTGTGACTGGTGTTATATAATCCAGCAGACCAGCATGCTTATTAAGTCATTTCGATTTTCGATATAGGCGGCGGCTCCCCAAAGAACTCGGGTTAAAGGTTTTAATTTTCATAAACGATTAGGCGAGAAGAACTTTCTTCGATTCCAGGGCGGCTTTTTTTTATTATTAATTAAGTTCTTTTCGATTTTATTTCCATAATATGAAAAGTGAATTTTGTTTCGGTTCGCTATTTTTGTTTTTGGCGATTCTTTGGGAATATCTTTTGTTTCTAAGCTTTAACTGCCCTTTGTCTGGCCTTAATTACATATATCTATATTTTTTTCGAAGCATAGCGTGGCTTCACTTCAACAGAATCGTCTCACACGCAGCCTCATAATTTTACCCCTTACACGGGCATTATATTTCATGGTTATATATCTTATATATATGTATTACCATTGTGCAAAGTGTTATATACATTTATTAAATTAAATAACACGTTGCGTTCTCAGTTCCTTCTGTTTATCGCCGACCAGCTCCCTTAATATGTACTTCCCACCTTGGCTAGAGAGGTCTAGTCGGCCCGTCCGGGCCATCCACTTAAAAATGTATTATGAACGCTTCCGCTGTATAATTTTTATGATTTCTACGGATATTGTAATGGCAGCTATTTGAAGGGAAATCGTTATGTACTTAGAAAATGGCAAAAATAGTTGTTTTGATTTATATACGAGTAGACTTTTAGATTTATGATATAATAGGTTTCAGTTTTGAGTAATTCTTAGCTTTGGTCACACTACAGAAGATTTGTACGAAGAAAAATAGTTCTCTTGATGATAAAGGCATTATCCTTTTTGTTTCATAAATACTTGGTAGTTTTCTTTAATAAAATTATTTAAAATCTACATTGTCACTTTTTTGCTCATCTATTTGTCTTTGCTCTGCTTTTAAAAAGTGCCTGGTCACACTGCCGGCTCACTCTTTGTTCAATTACCGCTTACGGTTCGTGTTCTTTTAATTTTATATATTTTTTTGTTGTTGTTCTGTTGTGCTGTGTTGCCTTGCCTTCTGTGGGCTGTGCCCATGGCCAAGAACTTCACACACTTGAGCGCACATACTCACACAAAAGCAAACCGCCAGAAAGCCAAGAACGACTGAGAAAAAAATTAAAAAAAAAAAATTATATAACTAGCAAAGTACAAGGTACTAAGAAGAACCAGCCAGCAGCAGAAATCTCCTCTTCGAGCCAAGCAAAAGTACAAGTTGAACAGAACAACTTTTGCAGAAGAACCAAAACCGAAAACCGAAAAGCAAAGCCAAAGCAAAAATAAAAGAACTTATTCAGCCTAGACTCGGGCTTAAGTTTCCAACTTCCACAATGACTAAGATCATGGCCATGAGAGAGAGGAGGGCTGGGATGGCTGGGCATGGCTGGTTGGGGATGGCTGGGAGGTGGACAAGGAGTAGCAGCAGCAGCAGAAGCATTGTAGGCACGTCGTCTGCCATTTGGCCTAAGCAAAGTCAAGGCAACTTGGCCATAATAAAACTTGCAGAACCAGTCGCCGCAGAAAGAAAGAACCCACCCGGAGAAGAGTCCCAGCCGAGAATCAAGCTAAAAATGCTGAAGGGCCTTGGCGGAGGATGATGCAGAAAACAGCAAACAGCAGAAGAAAAAAAAAAGCGGGCAAAACGATGCCCGAGAAAGCCTTTATACTTGGATCTTACGTTTAAAGAATTCCTCGCGCAAAAAAAAACAACAGAAACAGAAACAAAAAAAAGTTATGAGCAAAACTTCCTGTTACATTTTACTTTATCTGCCATCAGGGGATCTGTAAGACTGCACATTTCTCTGGCCGCTAGTAAAAGTCAATAAATTACCGAAAAGGAAATTCATTGATCGACCGATCGTATGATAAAGAAATTTCCAAAAAATAAAAAAAAGGGAACCCCTTTGAAAGACAATAAAAATACAAAAAAAAAATTGTTAAACGAATGATCCATGCAAATACTGCAGCTGTTAGAACTGAAAGTTCAATTGCACGCAGTGTTCCTCCAACACGCAGATGTTGCAATCCTTCCGTCGAGCGGAAGTTAGCGAAAGGTTCCCTATCAAGACGCGCGGCGACCCTTCTCTAGAGACAAACCGCGAAGAAGTTCAGCGAACCCTCCTCTCGCTCTCTCGATCTCTCTGTTAACCACTTTGCAAAAGCAAAAGTCAAGTGGTAAATAAGGTAAATGCTAAAAAAAACCTCTAGAGGAGATAAAAAAAAGAGAAAGACAAGTCACTGGCTAGGGTCCATTACTATTACTTCATAGTGCTAGATTTTCTATGGAAATCGAATCAAACCGATTGTTTATTCAATTAAGAGACCCCGATCTTGGCCAGAGATTCGAGAAGAGATCATCTCCGGAGATCTCTTGCTAATTGAAGTTATGGGATCATTGGAGATGTAAATTTTTGTGCTTAGAACTCATCAGGGCTTTTTATAATCAGGGTTTCTTTGACTTTTTATTGGTTTATTTTAATATTTAATTTTAGTAAAGGCTTTTAAAGTTTAAAATCAAAATGACGTTCTTCTAGGAAGAATGAAGTTTATCTTTGAGTTTTTTTAAAGATATTTGTTCATTAAAATATTAATTTACATTATTTAACTATTTTTATAAGTTGTAGAAGTCCTATAGTTATTTTTAAAATATTTTGGAAGCCTTGAAACCTCCACATCTTGCAAATCCTTCTCCTTGCGAAATATCAAGTTCGTTGCCTAAGTCTTTAGTTTTCCAATAGGCCAGCTACTTGTTTCAATTTTTTAGTTTTATTTTCTTCACTTCTTATTTTCATTTGGCATTAGTTTTACCTGCCTTATCGACTGATAGACAATGCAGTTGCTGTCTATATCTATATAGTATACCTGCCTCTGCCTGTGCCAAGGGTACCGTCCCAGCGATAATCTCGGAGCCCGAAAAAAAACCGATATTTGACAATCGGAAAGAGAGAGGGGGTGGGGGAGGGAGGGAAGAAAGAGGGGTTGTAGAAAATACACAAAATAAAAAGGGCATCAAGAAGAGAATCCTGCAAACACACACAGGCACATACACACACACACACACTCTTATGAATTCAAAGCCGAGATTTATTTGTGCAGTGAATCAACAAGCAAGAATACACAACACAAAGGAGAGGCAGCAGAAAAAAAAGAGACTCCGGGACAACAACAACAACAAGAAACAGGTCTCAAGTGCTGCCAACCGAGGAGAGGTAGAAGAGACAGAGCCACAGCCAGAAGAAGAAGAAGCAGAAGAACGAAGAGCCCACAAGAAGAACGTAGAATACAAGGCATTAAGAAGAAATACATTTGAAAAAAAAGGAAGCGAGTTCTCAGGTCTTGCTTTTGGCCTTTTTGGTATGCAGTTGGCTAAAGAAGAGGAAGCAGAGCAGCAGGAGCAGCCCAACAACAACAACAAAAGTAAAGAAAGAAAGAGAAAAAAAAGAAAGAAAGACCTGAGAGCGAATGATCATAAGCAATGATCATCGCGATCACCTCAACGATGATGACGGTGCGTAAGGTGTGTGTGTAATTGTGTGTGTGTGTGTGTGTGCAGGTATTTGCTCTCTCCATTCTCCCCTGCCCAGCCCACACTCTCTCCTTCGTGGGGTTACTCACTGTCTATGTTTTCTTTATTCTTCTGGTGGTCCCTTTGTTCTTATCCAGCATGAAAATGCATTTATTTCAGGCCCCAGGGGCTGCAACTATTTCTAATTGAATTACTTTTTGAAATGGATACAAAGTGATAAAAATCTTACAAAAAAAAACAGAAACAAAAACAACAATAAGAAAAATAAGATTCATAAATCATTTTAAAAATAATCCTAATCCCCTTTACAAAAAGTTGCAAATAATAATGTAATATTTAAAGAAAGAAAATACTTATTAATAACAAAAAGCCATTGCATTTTTTGTATAATTTTTGTCAAATTCTACAACAATTGATTGGCAAAAGTCTGAATTAAACCCACATTAAATCCATAAATAACTTGACTTAACAGTTGCGGCACCCCCATCGAAATAAAAACAAATAAATTGCCAAAAATATTCGCAATATTCGTCTCTGATTTTTGTTAATTTTGCATTTTTTTTCCCCCAAATGTCAATAACTTGTAAATTGTCTCGCGAGAATAATCAATCGCAACAACAAAAAGTATTTCTTAAAATGCAAAAAAATAAGAGAAGAAATTATTAAAAAGGGGGAAACTTGTTTCGTTTGATATATTTTTGTATATTTTTAAATTTTCGTTACTTTTTGTTTTATTTGAAACACGTTTTTATAAAACATTTGTAATCAAAGCAATTAATATAGAACTCGTTTTCATTCTCGTTTGATGTTAACAACAACTACAAAAATATAAAAAAGTTAACTGTTTTTTTTTTTTGTGAAATATTTG